ATTTGACAACTTGGGACAAGCAGTGCGAACACAACTTGTTGACAGACATATGACTTGTCGCGAGTCTGTTGGTCTCATCAACTTTGTAACAAGATATTGTACCAGACTTGTTACATGTTCCAAACTTAAGTAAAACGATTGGTTAAAAAACATCTGAACACATATTTATTAGGATAAAAACCTTATTCCAATATATAAGGTATAGTTCAATATTTATATATAAGTACATATATTTTTTCTTTGCGACTGTAATATTGTTACATTCATCACAAGTTAAGCAAGCCAAAAGTTTTTTGTGCAGAAAGTTCAGAAATGGCATTCGGCGTGAGATGTATTTACACCTCAATTATAATACTCAGCCAGATAAGCGGAATAAACCTTATTTTCTTCTATTTTGCGTTCTTCCTATGCCTTTTTGGCTCGTACTTACATTTCTATATGTTGGCGACGTTCAAATGTCTTGTGGGCTCCTGGCCAACACATTTTTCTTCGATTTTCCTATCCTATATCCTTAAAACGTGAAATTTCAGGTCCATTTACAGAAAAACTAACTTGCCTCACTAGAATGCTTACAAAAGACTACAAATAAGACATTTAAACGGTTATATACCTTGATTTTTCAAGCTGTGTTCGAGTTATCGCTGTTCCAAAATGTGAAAAATAGGCCAAAATTTTGACACTCGCAGAATCCTGGGCACTACTCTGAAAATAAGTTTTTGTTCTTCTGGGTTGTTTAAATGTCTTATATGTGGGTTTTTTTGTAAGCTTGCTGATGATTCAATTATTTTTTCTGCCTGAAATTTCACATTTTTTTGCATGGGCGTTTAATAGAACGTGTTGGCTGGAGCCCACAAGACGTTTGAACGCCCCCGACTGATACAGAAATGGACTTACAAGCGTTAAAGGCATACAGGACGAAGGCAAAATGGAATTGCCTCCCGATATGGTGATTTTTCATTCATTTTTCGATCCTCTGTCTATAGGGTTTTAAAATACGGTTAATTTCAGTATTTGCAACAGCTGTTTTCCCATCGTATGTTTTCAATATGCGTTCAGGTAGGTTCATAATCGTTTCAAAGATTTAGGTTGGGTTTATACGACCATTACATAAAAGTCCAGCTCTCGTAGACGAGATTTCGCGTGCTAGTAGCTTTGCTTGATAACATTATCAGACTTGTTACAAGGTTGTTCTAACAAGTCTGATACAGTCATGATATAACAAGAATGTCACAAGGTTGATCACACAAAGTTGTGACAATATTGTTACATCATGACTGTATCGGATTCGTTGGAACAACCTTGCAACAAGTCTGATAGTATCAACAAGGTTGTTACGAGTTGTTAACAGCTTGTTCCAAACTTGTTGACAACTTGGGACAAGCAGTGCGAACACAACTTATTGACGATTTTTACAAGTAAACGTATATTCATATAAAAACATACTACAGGAAATCAGCTTTAGTCATAGCGTATAAATTGATCTATATGCCTGCGTTCGACCATTGACATACAGTATAACCTAGAAGGCATTTGAAGCCAAAGACACCAAATACCAATATGGCTGCAATTTCACGGGTAGAAACATCAAAGTTTAAGATTTATATGTACAAGTTCAATGTTTCCAGATATATTACTTGCATAAGCCGTGCGTCGGGATAAACAGGCCCCTTCCAAGGTATCCTCCTACCTAGGGCCCTATTTCACTTGAACTGCAGGAATTCTCAAAAAAGGGGGACCTTTAGAAATTCACCTTATTGTTATCATTTGAGCGCCTTATTATTGTGTCGAACCCAGGGTCCGTAAAATAGAATAGAAGTGAATTTTTACTTTCACTTGGTTTCGTCATGAATTACGTGCTGAAAGCATATTAAACTGCATAAATTGTACATGAAAATTGTAATTGAAAGTTAAAACGACTTAAAAAATTCATTAATAATTCACGAGAAAAATACAACAGAAATGAATGTTTAATCAATGTTTGTAAATCGGATAAAGATTTGTCCTGATTTACATGAACTTCAGCTTTGATTTTCTCGGCTTAGACAATGTTTATTTTTAAAATTACTTTGCCAATGAACTCATGAGATGGGTAATTTTTAAGTACGATAAAACATTCGCATCCGATCTGTATCTGATATACAAACTCGCGCCTTCGGCTCGAGTTTTGGCGTTCCTCTCAAAATTACTTTATTTTAGCTTTATTCTCTAGTTTATAGAGTTAGCTACCTTTTTAAATGCATTTGCCGGTTGAGAAACATAAAATAATAGTTAAAAATAGTCAATTAAAATACAATTATCAACGATGCTTTACTGTCGTTCCAATTGAAGTGTTCCTCAAATATTGATTCAATACATTACCTCGGGCTGACCAATTCATTTCATTAAGTTCCTCGAGATATTCATACGCTTCCTGTGAAAGAGCCAATTCCAAGTATTTGATCATTTCTGGTCACTTCCTTTCTATTTATGATTGGTTAGTTGCACAAACAACAAAGGTGATTGGTGCATTCAAACTATTCAACAGGAAGTTTCAATTATACTAGGAAGTGTATGAATATTTCGAGGAACTTGATGAAATGAATTGGTCAGCCCGAGGTAATGTACTGAATCAATATTCGAGGAACACTTCAATTGGAACGACAGTAAAATTGACGCCATATTTACAGTCATATAAGCAAAACTTACTGAACTTCAGACATCATTTTCTCTTTGGCGTATCATCTAAAATCTCTTCATTTTAGCATTATTTTACAGATAAAGCACTAGACATACTTTTTAAGTTTGTTTGCCGATTGAGAAACGGTATCGAAAAATAAAAATTTTGAATTTAGTCACAACCTCAAGTGGTATACCGTATATTATACGCATTAGTTTTGAGCGCGTGTTACGTAACATACAAAAAAATCTCCTCTTAAATAACTTTCCATGCAAAAAATTCAATCCAATTGTATTTACGCACCATGGGTTCAAATCATGGCCTATCGAAGGGGAGATGGATGTGAAACTCATTAGAATAACAATACAACGCATTATCTATGTTAGTCAACGTTTATTCATAAATCTGGTCCTTCACCGCCACGTGCGTATTGTATTTCTGCCAAATCCACCGATAACAATTTCCAATTTCCCTATTGTGCGAATCACGGATAGGTGACTTTCCTAAAACATTGCTATTGGTTAGTTGGGTAAAAATACAATACGCACGTGGCGGTGAAGGACCAGATTTACGAATAAACGTTGACCAACATAGATAATGAGTTATATTGTTCTTCTAATGAGTTTCACAGCCATCTTCCCTTCGATAGGCTATATGGTTCAGTATAGGATTCAAACATTCAAATTATAACAATACGGTGAAATTCTAAAGGGTCACTATTTTTAGCAGTACATTCAGTTGGCTTATACGCTCAGTTTTACGCATGGAATTTTAGGTGCCGGTCATTATTATGGCGGGGGGTGGCGCCAAAGAGAAAAGGGTCAGGTAAACAAAATTTTGAGCGAGTAAAAGGTTGGGTAAATGAAAAACAAAACAACTTAAAGGGCAAAATCTATTGTAAGGCACGACTCATTCAAATATCGAAGCATGACACACATGACTCACTCAAATATCGAAGACTAAAAAGCAATGTCAACAGTCATATGCCAATACAATATGTATATCAAGCAATCAGAATCACTATCTTGATCATTTTCCGATTTGTCAGGAGGCAAATGGTGTCTCCAAAGAAAGTACATGTGCAGACAACACAAAACTTTCGACTGCATAAAACTGCACAAGCAGTTATCAATTCAAACTCGTGTCACAAGTGGTAAAGGACATGTGTGACAACTGAATGGTATCCTTTTGTGATGTTTTTGAGGTTGGGTAAAAAATTGTCTTCGACTTTTTAATGGTTGGATTAGCAAAATTTTTACCCCACACAAAAGTTTTGCCACACCCGGCCGTAAACAATGACCTTCCAACACCCTTCGTTTCACCTTGAATCCCGTATTACTCCTAATTACCTCTAAACAAACACAGGAGCTTTGCTATCGTCGCTCTCTGTCTCGTCCCAGGAACTATAGTTCGACACGGACGAGCGTGGTTGTTGATCCTTGTTGAAAAATCGCCGGAATGTGAATTCGTAAAAAGCATGCGACGGATGCCTGGACTTCGTGCCATCCTCGGAGATCTCCGTCATGCTCTCGCACTCGCTGCCCTGAGGTCGTTCTGGTTCCACGGGATCGAAGTTCGAGGTGTCCTCGGGATGACGGATCTGTGGAACATGATACGCCTTCACTCTGCGTATCATCAACCAATCGATTGTGCGAAAGAAAGCATGATTCTTGATGTCGTCCACGCCGCCAAAACCGAGCCGCTGGTTGGCGCTCGTGCAAAGTTGTAAGATGAGGTCTTCGGCTTCTGAAGTCAACTCTGCTTGCCTGGGAATATTTAACGTCGTCTCCCAATTGATAACCTGTCGAGAATAATGAATTGAATGTTTTAGATTTATGCGCACAGATATCGAGATTTTGATGCATCTCAATGGATTGAATAATAGATCTCAAACTCATTACTGTCGTTCCAATTGAAGTGTTGCTCAAATATTGATACAGTACATTACCTCGGGCTCACCAATTCATTTCATCAAGTTCCTCGAGATATTCATACACTTCCTAGTATAATTGTAAACTTCCTGTTGAATAGTTTGAATGCACCAATCACCTTTGTTGTTTGTGCAACTAACCAATCATAAATGGAAAGAAAGTGACCAGAAATGATCAAATTCTTGGAATTGGCTCTTTCACAGGAAGTGTATGAATATCTCGAGGAACTTGATCAAATGAATTGGTCAGCCCGAGGTAATGTATTGAATCAATATCTGAGCAAACACTTCAATTGGAACGACAGTAATGCTTCATGAGTAAATTAGCCAACCATATTGCTTTGTTTTGCTTACATGATAATACTGGATATCTGGTGAAGTATATTCATCCAGTCCTTGGACTGAATCAAAATTAATTCACCTCACTTACTGTCGTTCCAATTGAAGTGTTCCTCAAATATTGATTCAATACATTACCTCGGGCTGACCAATTCATTTCATCAAGTTCCTCGAGATATTCATACACTTCCTAGTATAATTGTAAACTTCCTGTTGAATAGTTTGAATGCGCCAATCACATTTGTTGTTTGTGCAACTAACCAATCATAAATGGAAAGAAAGTGACCAGAAATGATCAAATACTTGGAATTGACTCTTTCACAGGAAGTGTATGAATATCTCGAGGAACTTGATGAAATGAATTGGTCAGCCCGAGGTAATGTATTGAATCAATATTTAAGCAACACTTCAATTGGAACGACAGTAAAACTTCATGAGTAAATTAGCCAAACATATTGCTTTGTTTTGCTTACATGATAATACTGGATACCTGATGAAGTACATTCATTCAGTCCTTGGACTGAATCAAAATTAACTCACCTCACTTAAAGTAGTGATTTATTCGTACGAGATGTCATTTCAGATCCGACTATGAGGAAGAGGTTATTTCGCTGGCCTCAGAGTGACAGAACGTAAGAAAGCAACGGTTTTACTAACACTAACCCTATTCCAAACACCAACTCTAACCCTAATCCTTACCCTAAGCCTAACCTAACCCTACTCCAAATTTGTTTCTAAACCAATCTTGAAAAAGGAAGTTTTGACGAAATGTCATTGTGAGGTCAGCGAAATAACTTCTTCCCGACTATGAGGACTGGACTTGATTTCAAGTCTCTCGCATTTTATTCAATTCTCAGCTTCGCATCAGACTTCAGATCAAATTGCGCGGATTTGAAATATAGTCTAATCTTCACAGTCGGATTTGAAATATTACATCAAAAACTCATCAATATATTATTATTCATGAGGAAAACACAAAGAAAAATCATAAGCGTGTCGTATCTTTATATGTGATAGAGATTTCCCTTGATTTACATAAACTTTAACTTTGATTTTCTCGACTTACACAACGTATTTTTTGAAAATTACTTCGCCAATGAACTCACTAGATCGATCGTTTTTGAAGCAATTTAAAAATTCGCAGTGCCTGTTTTATCCGACCTAAAGATGCTCGGCTTCGCCTCGTATCTAAAACACTGCTGCTCATGTTTTAAATAGTACCTGTATAAACAGAAAAGCTATAAGCGCATTAATTAAAGGGATAAGGCAATATAAATCAAGTTTGTCTTATTTGAAAGAACATTTTAAATGATATATAAACTTCCTGTACAATTATCCCGTATCTTGTTTGGTTTTCGAAATAAATCGACTTATTTTGATCAAAAGCAGCGTGCATTCCGCCATCTTGGATATGCATTCGATATGCATACGTCGTAAGTAGGGTAAAAAGCGAAATTTTTATCTTGCAAACCACATCTCATTATCAACATGAAACTCGATTTTCCGAAGTCTTTTTAGAACTCAATTAACTCACAACATTTTAAGAAACTTTTCGAAGAAATTTAGTCCCACATGAAGAAGTTTTAACAGGTTTACCCTGCTTGTGACGTCATTAAAAACTCAGTTAATTAGGTCAATTATAATACCAAGATGGCAGACTGCACACTGTTTTTGCCAAAAACTTTTTGGTCGAAATATTTCGAAAACCAAGCAAGGTACGAAAAAGCCGTTGTAAAGGGTCTTCATATATAACTCTAAAAGTTCTTTCAAATAAGACAAAGTTAATTTTTATTGACATAATTCCTCTAACGTTGGATTACATACACGGCTAAAAACGCACAGGTTGTTGCAAGTTGATATCGACAGGCGTGAACAATGTTGTGCGGCCAACTATGAACAAGTTGTCAACCATGTTGTTCCAAGTTGTTACAGTTGAACAATGCTACAACAACATGTTGACAATACTGTTCATAGTGGGCCGCACAACCTTGTTCACGCCTGTTGATATCAACCTGGAACAAGTTGTTGATTTTCTCAATTTTTACGCGTGTACCCTACCTTCATTTGTGTCTCAGCAGCATTGGGGGAATAAAATGGCGGCCGTCCAACCAGCATTTCGTACAAAATCACTCCGACCGACCACCAGTCGCAAAGGTGCGTGTATGGTATCCTCATGAGCACCTCGGGAGCGATATAATTGGGTGTCCCAACCAGCGAGTGCGCTTGACAGCGCATGTGTTGACGAATGTGCCGTCTCGCCAGCGGTTTCTGTCCGTCAACGGCGTGGCCGCACCGACACTTGTGTTCCTTCGCCCACGTGTCGTCGAAATCCATGCTGGGATTACGACTGTGGTTTCGGGAGAGCGTGCCACTTTGATAGTACTTCGAATCGTGCGTCCATCGGAAACCAGTACAGAGTCCAAAATCTGTGAGTTTAATATGTCCGTCGCTGTCGATGAGCACGTTGTCGGGTTTAATGTCCCGGTGGATGAATCCCATTCGATGCACCGACTCAATAGCTAACACTAGTTCCGCTATATAAAATTTCGCCATATCTTCGGGAAAGAAACCTCGTTTTATTAATAAACTCATAAGGTCACCTCCCGGTACATACTCCATAACAAAGTACAGGTTATCTTTGTCTTGAAAAGAGTAGAACAGTTTCACAACCCATTCGTTGTCGGCTTCGGCGAGAATGTCCCGCTCGGCTTTCACGTGTGCGACCTGATTCCTTTTCAAAACTTCGGATTTTTTCAAAATCTTCATGGCATACAAGGAGCCCGATTGCACGTGTTTCGTGAGACATACCTCACCGAACGCACCGACGCCGATGACTTGTAGCTTGCTGAACATAGATGGATCCATCTTGCTCCGTTTCAATCGAATATAATTCGATTCCTTTTGGCTCAAGATTTTCCGCATTTCGGACTGCGCATCTTCGGATAACTGAACCTTCTGCATTTCTTGTTCGAGTTGGAACCGGCGTTGTTCGCGCTCTTTTTGAGCTTTCAAAAGATTCTCGACTCGTTGTTCCATGTAGAATTTATAGGTCTGAGGCGAGATGTGAGGTCGCTGGCTTCGTTCCTCGCCGTTCACGGACGATTCCGGGTTTCCCACGTCGATTTCCGGCCGTTTCCGAACGTGCACGACAAGGGTGCCGGTTTTATTCGTCAAGACATTTGGATAATCTTCGTCCACACCGTCGAACGATGCCATCGAGGCGAGCTCGAAGCCCGGAAAATCGGAATCCTCGATCGTCGACGAGCGGCTATCTGAGCCATCCGAACTCACCGACATATTATCGTTTGATGGGGAATTCCTATCTGACCATTGATCGAGCTGGTTTGACCGACTGCCTGGCGATGAATCGTAATATGACGGCGACGAACTCTGACTACTTTCGGAGGGGGGAACGGCCCGCTTTGGTGGTAGGGGGGCGGGTACTGCTCGACTCTTTGTCTGTAATTTCTTGGGGTGTTCATAAACTCGTATGGCAAAGCCGGGGGACTGTCGTGCAAGTCCATTGGGACATCGGGTCTCGCATACCCGGACTGCATTTGGGGATAACCGCGCAAATCGGGTTCTGCGGTCATGGTAACGGGGCTGGTTTGTACCGACACGCGGAATGTCGCAGACTGACCGGGACTCTTCGATACCATGGGGGTAAAACTCGTAGGGGTGACATTTGCATGGGGACCGTTCGCCGTATTGAGGCTTACCTGAACTTGGAATTGTGGGGCCGCCATCGGCGGTGGTTGCTGTGCGGGAGAGTAGCCACCCATCTGATAGTTGCTATGGCTACTGGTTACTGGCGCGGGCAGTTGTTTTTGGTTAAACGAGTAGGGAGTCTTTTTCCATAATGCGCCGCCCTCCGGAACCACCGATCGAGTATTAGGCGACGGTGATTTTCCCCTAGTCGGCATCTCCGACCGCGAGGTCACCTTCCACTCGGCTTGGGAAATCGTCGTGTTCCCAGAAGGCAACGCTGTCGTCTGCATGTATTTCGAAGTCTCGATCTTGCTCGTCCGATGCGTCGACATTGGCGGACGCTCTGGGTGGGCTCTGTGGGGTTTCTGGGTGGCAAGGCTGTAAGGCGGGGGTGACTTGGTCATAGGAATTGCATCTGGCTGATGGAGGTTGGGGGTTCACGGCCTCGCATCGCATTGGGGTTTATTCTCTGGAAACCATTATTGTGCGCCATAGCCCGGACGAAATCAAAATTGGCAGGCGATAAAGGATTCTGAGATAACGCATCCTAGTAAAGAAATAGCATAAGTTTATGGAGGGGTCATTATTTATGGCGCGGAGAGATACAGAAGAGAAAAAGGTTGAGTAAAAGGTTGGGGAAATGAAAAACAAAACAACTCAAGGTTTGGGTGATAAAAATTTATTGTCGTTTCCAAAGCATGACTCGCTCGAATATTGAAGACTAAAAAGCAATGTCCAAAGCCATAAGCCAATACGATATGTAAATCAATCGCAGTCACTATCTTCAGGGACGCCGGAACTGGCGGGGGGGCAGGAGGGGCAGCCGCCCCCTTTTCCCTTTACCAGGAGGGGCAAGGGGGGCCAAGGTGCCCTTTCAATTTAAAGGATTGGCTTGGCGAAATAGCGAATTGTCAGAAATGTTAGTGCAATTCTTTTACGAATTTGCTTCAGAAAACGCAAGAAATGCAGTCATCGAGCTTCAAGAACAGCACAATCGCCTGGCGGAGAACCCCCTCACACCCCTATCATCCAATAAATAGAAAACATGATTAGGCGAAATTCAACTGCCCGAAGTTTTGCAAACATCTCTTAGTATATATCAATTCAAAAGTGCCCTTTCACGAAAACCTGCCCCCCTTGCCTTCACATCGTTCCGGGGTCCCTGACTATCTCGATCATTTTCCGATTTGTCAGGAGGCAAACGGTGTCTCCGAAGAAAGTACATGTGCAGACAACATGAAACTTCAGACTTCAGAAAATTGCACAAGTCACTTCTGGGTGGTAAAGGGCATGTGTGACAACTGAACGGTATCCTTTTGTAAAGCTGTTGGCCAGGGGTGGGTATTTTCTACTTTTTTCCTGGGAATTTAAAATAGTTTCTAATCGTATGAATTAAAGTGCGTAACTGCATAAAAATTTGTCAAATTACTAATTAGTCATATCACTTCTATTCTGTTTACGCACACATCGGTTCAGAATAGTAATATGGCATTCAAATTCCAACAAAGGATTGATTTAAAAAGATATACTTTTTTGGGGGACACGCTGTTTAGGAGCTGTTCGTATGGGGCAAGCTGGTATCCGAGTTTAGGCGAGATCCCGCCTTTGTTATTAATTCCTATACTAAATATATACTTTTTCGTTTATATGGGAACAGAAACATATTGGCATTGCTTTCGTGTCAAAATTTCAGTAGATTTCCTTGAGTAGGCAATAAAATTTCCTTGAGATGATTTGCGGTTTTCGTATAAAAAAACCTTGACGTGTATAGTCAAAGACGACCTAGCCTGGCAGGTTAGCGCTGACCAGAAACAGGAAATCAACCACGATAAATAACTATTCAGTCTGTTTTTGACAGACCACAAGGAACCACGGTTTCCTTTATCATGTTAATTAAAGGGAAATGGCAATATATTTTATTATTTTCTCATTTGAAAGAACCTTTAAGACTATATGTAATACTTTTTTTTACCGTTTTTTCATATCTTACTTATTTCTACAAATATTTTGATCGAAAGGAATGAAATGGCCGCCATCTTCAATTCTTCTAGATATGCATGTCACGTCAATAGGGGTCACGCAATATTTTTATCTAGACAAACACTAATCATTTTGCACTCAAAACTATACTCTTGTCTGCCCTTCGAAATATCAAGATCACTCAAAACCTTTAAAAACATCTACCAATCAATATTTGGTCAGCAACGAATACTTTTATATGGTTAATCCCTGTTGTGACGTCACCAAAACTACCGTTAATGAGATAAAAAATGTATCCAAGATGATGAGGAACATCTCATTACTTCAAGTGAAAATATTTCAAGAACTAAGCAAGATATGAAAAATCACTAAAAGAAGTTAATATATAGTTTCAAAAGTTCTTTCAAATAAGAAAATAAAACTTTACATTGCAATTTCCCTTCAGGAAATTAAACTAATTTTCTCCTCAAAACAAGTACGTCTTAATCGATACATCTGCCGGGTGTTCCCCCAAAATGGACACTGTTTGAGTTCATGTAACGTAAAAGCTATAAAAGCTATCAGAAAGGACTAACTTAGATTTTGATATGTAACACTTGAATTTACATGCAATATTGAGCGAGATATAACCAAATGAAAAATATTTATTATTCAACAAGTGTGACTACATCGGTAACTATAAGCTTGTTTTATGCTAATTTTTGGCATTTTCAAAAACAGTAGTTCGACGTTCAAACATCAATAGCGCAGTCAATATTACATGTAAATTCAAGTGTAGTCCAGCGGATATGCACAGATATTTGAGAAAATCATGCACTTTGTGAAGAAAGCACCAAATTCACAGGAAGTGTAGGCTTTAACATGATAATGAATCTTAGATATGGAGGCATCACCAAAATTGATGCTGACGGCTTAAAATTTAGGATTTCTTATATTCTCTTATTAATCTCTTATACAATTAAAAATTGTGAAATTGCAGGTTCACATATAGCAAAAATGACAAGCGTCATTAGAAAGCTTACAAAAAACTGCATATAAGACATTTAAGCAGTTACTTTGATTTTCCAACTGAGCGGTTGATTTTCCAATGAGCGGTTGAAAATATATTTTAGGGCTAGTGTCCAGGACTTTGGCGGGATTTTTGCCTATTTATCACGTTTTTAAATAGCAATAACTGGAAAACCGCTTGGAAAATCAATCAGCCGTTTAAAAGTCTTATATGTAGTTTTTTGTAAGCTTTCTAATCATGCAAGTCATTTTTGCTATATGTGAACCTGCAATTTCACAATTTTAAACAGTAATAGAGTTTAATAAGAGAATATAAGAAATCGTAAATTTTAAGCCGTCAGCATCAATTTTGGTGATGCCTCCATATCTAAGATTCATTATCATGTTAAAGCCTACACTTCCTGTGAATTTGGTGCTTTCTTCACAAAGTGCATGATTTTTTACTTTTCCGCTGGACTCGATAGCTTTTACGTTACACGTTACATGAAATCGAACTGTGTCCAGTTTTTTTTGGGATACCCTTACAGGAATAGACAAAATATTTTTCAGAGATAAGCGCAGTCTATATTGCATTTAAATTCAAGCGCTATATATCAAAAATCTAAGTTAGTCCTTTCTGAATGCAATGATCTTCATTGCATTGCGATAGCCTTTATAGCTTTATACGAAGAAACAAAATATTTTTCAGAGATACAAAAATTCGAAAATTTTCCTGTTTGAGAAATGACTGCATGATTTATGACCCACGATGATTGACTAACGTTGATTGATATATTCAGTTTCGAAATGCGGAATGTTTTCTCGCGAAATAGAAAAATCCGGTGATAAAGTAAATCGCGTACACAACACGTCATCAAAATAAGGGTCATGCCAATTCTGAGTTCATACTGCGCGTAAATTTTGCGCCGGAATATATTGCGGTTGTATTACGACATGTATAGCTGAGCATGTCCAAGTATTGAAACCATTATCATAACTGGAAAGAGCATGTTAAAATGAGTAAAATTGCAAAGTTTGGTTGCGAATTGTTGTAAAATGAGTAAAATATAGCCCTGCGAAGTTCGCAAATTTTGTATATATTATTATACGCGCGCGTGAAAAATAACCATTTTTGAGTTGAAAGTGGTTATTTTTACCGCGCGTAATACAAATATATACAAAATTTGCGAACTTCGCAAAGTTATATTTTCTTCACTTAACAACATTTAACAACCAAACTTTGCAGTTTTACTCATTCTAAGACGCTCTTTCTAGCTGTGGTGTTGGATTTCGTTCTTCTTGCCTTGATCAAAATTTAGTCTATAGCTGATAAAAGCTGATTTAGTCTATAGCTGACAAAATTTAGTCTATAGTCTATAGCAAAATTTAGTCCATTGTTTTTTGGAATCACCAAATAATTTTTGCACTAGCATACTTAGTCTTACTTATACTTACATACTGTTGATTTTCAGATGGGGCGTGTTATACTTACAAACTATTTTAACACACATCCTAAGTCTCTGGTATAGTGGACATACTGCGTTTAAATTGGTAAAGCGAAGACACATTTTTCGCCTCAGAAAGAAGACTATTCCACAGCATTACACCACTATACTTAAAACTTCGTTTACGATAGATTGTTTTAAGTTTTGGAAGAGCTAGATCAGTATCATTACTTCGAAGATTATATTCTCTATTAAGATCTTTAATTGTTATACATTTTTCTCTACGACTCGGAGCGGACTGCTCATTAATAAGATTTTGTACGTCAAAACGCTTCAGCCTATGACGTCTTACATCGAGCGTGGACCATTGCAGATGCTCCAGTACCTTTGCCGAGTTGACATCAAATCTTGCTCCCGTTATAACCCGCGCCGCTCTATTTTGGAGCATCTGTAATTTATCTTTATGGACCTTCCCGCATGTATCCCACAAAGGGGCGCAATAATCAAAATATGGCCGAATCAGCGCTTTGTATAAAGCAAAACAAATTACATAATAACTACAGTGAAACACGCAATTTGATTGGTCAATAGCCGTGCAGGATCAGGCTATCCTGCACGAGGATTCGAGGAATTATAATGCCTTCGCGGGATTTTCGCGGTATTCTCAAAATGTCATTGTTTCACTGTAGTTATTTTATAAAACAATTACCAAATGGTTTTCGAAGCAGGATGGCGTGATCCATGCATTTGGGATGTTGCTCGACTTTCGGAAAGCGTAAAAATACACTCGCCTGCGGCTCGAGTATTTTTACGCTTTCCGAAAGTCTCGCGACATCTCTCGCGCATGGATGACGCAGTCCTGCACGGAAAACCATTCGGTATTCCTTTAGTAAGGTACGCTTTATAAGAGATTCTATTTTCTCGCTGCCGAGAGTTCGGAGTTCAGATCTTAATGACTGTGCGTAATTAGTCAATCTAATTAACAAAAATACCTTTCTTTAATTAAACGAAGGCCAGAATTATATTAAGAAAACATTAGTTGAAACATGATATTTCAGATTAAGGCCGCGTTTACATCACAGGGTGTATTAAAAAAAAACCTGCACAGTTTGAAAATGTTTGCTAAACCGAAAATTCCGCAAAATGCGTGAAAACTTTATGCATGCATGGGTAGTTTGGGGTCCGCTAATATCTTTACCACTAAAATTATTTTGAAAAGTAATTTTTCGAGCGCAGAAAGGCTGCTTTTATAAACCACTCTAAAAATGGCTCGCGCAAAAAAATGGAAGGCTTAAAACGTAATTTGAATTCCCAGGCCAAGGTGCAAATTCGGGACGTGTTTTATGAACAGACGAACTATCAAGGTACCAGACAATTTGAATATTTGAATAATTTGATGTACATTAAGTTCAACGCGCGACCTTTAAACCGGTGGACTTTTTTGCCACAGTAGCTTTCACGCATAATTTTTAAACGTTTCAAGAAAACAATCATGCGTGAAATCATTCACGCATGAGATAAATTATGCGTCATGTGTGGAAGGTTAATAATATGGAAAAAGTCCAAGTTTTAGAGGTTGCGCATAGGCGGAGTTTATGTACATGTCTGGAACTTTGATAGCGCTTCAAAAGCTCATTAAAATTCATGAGGAAAACACAAAGAAAAATCATAAGCGTGTCGTATCTTTATGTGTGATAGAGATTTCCCTTGATTTACATAAACTTTAACTTTGATTTTCTCGACTTACATGACGTATTTTTTGAAAATTACTTCGCTCGCAATGAACTTTCTAGATCGATCGTTTTTGAAGCAATTTAAAACATTCGCAGTGCGTGTTTTATCAGACCTAAAGATATTCGGCTTCGCCTCGTATCATTACATCTGATAAAACACTGCTGCTCATGTTTTAAATAGTACATAAAACACCTTCTAAATTCGCACCAAATTGCGTTTTAAGCCTTTCATTTGTGCGCAAGCCATTTTTAAAGTGGTTTACAAAAAAAACAAACCTCATGACACGAAAATTTACTTTTCAAAATAATTTCAGTGGTACTGTAAAGATACTAGCAGATCCCAAAATACCCATGCTTGCATAAAGTTTTCACAAATTTTGAGGAATTTGCAGTTTGTAGGTAGAATTTCAAGGGAAAATTTTATACATTATAAATACATTGTCAATCCACATCCCCCATTATACATTATGATGTCAAGATTTTTGAGGCATCTCACTCGAATAAATAATATTAGATGGGTATTGTAGATGGAAATTGTCGAGTGGAAATTTATATACATTTATTTTGAGATGCCTCAAAATTCTTGATATTTACCCATAATCTATACATGGCAGTACCCCAGTATATACACATGAACTTGTGGTTAGAGCTTGACAACTGGCCTCTGTAGCTCAGTTGGTTAGAGCTTGACAACTGGCCTCTGTAGCTCAGTTGGTTAGAGCTTGACAACTGGCCTCTGTGGCTCAGTTGGTTAGAGCTTGACAACTGGTCTCTGTAGCTCAGTTGGTTAGAGCTTGACAACTGTCTCTCTGTAGCTCAGTTGGTTAGAGTTCGACAACTGGCCTCTGTAGCTCAGTTGGTTAGAGTTCGACAACTGGCCTCTGTAGCTCAGTTGGTTAGAGTTCGACAACTGTCTCTCTGTAGCTCAGTTGGTTAGAGCGCTGCAACGGAATCGCAGGGCTGCAGGCTCGATTCCTGCCAGGGACCTAGGGTTGCATTTTTCGGTTCTGTTCCTGGTTAAGTCTAATAAATGTATATAAATCAACAATTTCCAAATACCCATCATCCATTATAATGTAGTTTCTGAAACATTCTCTGATCGTAAAATTTATTTAAAACACAAGCTTTCAACTGCCAGTCTGCAGACGCGCTTTCTTTTTCTTTCTGCAGACGCGCAGAGCGTTGAAAGCTCGTGTTTTAAATAAATTTTACGATCAGAGGACGTTTCAGAAACTTTATTATGAATCATGGTCGTAGCATCTTTAATATCCATTATAATGTTGCGTTATAGATCCATCATACATATGACCCTGTGATTTCGGTGCAGCGATCTAACCAACCAAGCTACAGAGAGGTAGTCGCCGGCCTCTAACTGCACGTTCATGCTTCCTTCAATGGATCCACTTTATTATTTCACAGTTACAAATTCAATCGGTCAATTTTAAATCCAGAATATCGATAATGTGATGAGATTTTAAAGTCTGTCAGAGCATATATCAAGTTGCAAAAATCTTGTAGCAAGTCTGCCAACAAGTTGTGTTCGCAATGCTTGTCCCAAGTTTTCAACAAGTTTGGAACAAGCTGTTAACAAGTTGTAACGAGCTTGATGGCATTATCAGGCTTGTTACGAGGTTGTTCCAACTAGTCCGATACAATCATGATACAACAATATCGTTACAACCTTGTGTCGTCAACCTTGTAACATTCTTGTTATATCATGACTGTATCAGACTTGTCAGAACAACTTTGAAGCTTGTTACAAATTGTTAGCAGCCTGTTCCAAACTTGTTACAACAACCGGGAACAGCATTACAGCCAATGTGAACACAACTTGTTGACAGCTTGTGAAGAGAACGTCTGATGACAAATTTCCAATAAATTCAAAATATCACTGTCGAATATTGTCTCGAATATAGGCCTTAAAATATTGGTTGGTCACAGACATTGACCGACCGATTCGTGAAATTGTCCGACGTACAGAGGAAGTCACCGGACATTCTGTCCAACCGAAGTGAAACCAAGGTTTGTTTGTCCGACCCGAATGTATTTGTGTCCGGACAAACTGTAGCTTCGTCCAACGTAAATCAAAATGTACCCTAGTCCAGGACTAGAGGCTTGTATGTTAAATGGAAAATCAGAGTAATGTACAACAAGTGAACTGCCCGACTCAACATCATCGGACGTTTTGTCAGACGGCCCTGAAAAAGATATTTTAGAGCCTATACTGACCCTACCAATAAGATATTATCCAATTACCTACTGACATTGGAATTTGCATTTGCAGTAAAATTGAATAACTCAAGCAAAATAAACATTTCGTGAATAACTTTAACCATATATAGTTTGTGATTTTAGCTCGAGTGTAAAGCAAAGAAATAATTCAATAGGAAACGATTTTTGTATGCAAAAGCTTTTGGACACAGTCAATTTTATCATTCAAATGTTATTTATTGCCAGAACCTTCTATTCACATGCGATTTTCGCCATTATTTAAGCCATATGAATGAATGTTTTTAAAGACAGCAAAAAGCTTTGTCTGCGGTTTTTGTATATAAACTATCAGAGAAGAATAACTCAAATTTCTGAAGAAGTATTTTTCTCTTGAAACTCAGAAAGCATTGAGTTGAAATATTGATTGGTATCTCATTTTCAAAAAATTTTCAGACCCAAATATGGGCGCGTAATGTCTCATTTTAATGCCTCGAAACTTCATAGCTTTGTCATATAAAGAATAATGCAATCACATCTGAAATTAATAGCGCAGATTTAGGCTATATGATGGCCAAAATATAGTGCACAGATCTTTGAGTATACTACATATTGCCGATTTTATACAAACAGCGCTAGAACCGCAGCGATCGCTTGACACTTTGACTATTACTGCAGAATTCCCAAAGATGTGGCTATAATTTCTGCAACTATATGCAGTTTCAAGTGCCCTTTTATAAACACTACAGAATATGGCCATTTTTGACCTGTTTTTGAAGATTTCCAACGATGTGTACGCGTGTCTGTTTTGTACATTTCATCTGGGGGCAAATCTAGCGAGCAGATTTTCGAAAATTTAATACGAGGCGTTTCAAAATCGCCATATTTTCCCACGAGCTTTAAAATACAGCAGCAGTTAAATGGCTTCCCGAATCGTTCTAAAAAGTTGTCAATTTCATTCGAAGGGTACTATTAAAAAATATCGCGATATAGACGGGAATTTCCGCGTATTTTTTAGCCCAAATCGCTGTACAATAGCGCCACAATACACCAGTCTATTTTTCGGCTAGCAACCGGCATTTTTTAAAGACAAACACAGCATCCTACGCCGAAATAAAAACAGCTTTGTTGTTTCACATTGTGACATTCGTGAAATACGGAACGTTTTCGAATTCCCAAATGAAACAAATTTGCGTGAGGCGACGATTTAGGACGCAATTTTTTAAACCAAATTATGTGTGGAATTTTCAAACCCTCGACAGTCACACACGCGAAACGGAATTATGTGAACCTATAAACCGCGATCGATAAGCACTATTTATTATTATTCACTGGGGTAAATACAAATTCGTGGCACACCGCTCGCATCAACAAAGCAATCTCAAACATTGGCTCGATAACGTTACAACAAAACCAAATTAAATTGCTCTTACCTTTAAATTGTTTTAATGAAAGAGAAGCCATTAAACTTTTCGGCCCGAAAACCGCGAAGTGTATTCTTTGGAATTTGCCAATTTTCAATAACAATGCCGTTTACAAACAACAAGAAATTTGCATGCGTTTCAAAACCGAGTCAGCTTAGAAAGGATGGAAATATTTTCGCATGCCAAGTATTATTTTACGCCGACGATTTCGAAAAGCGTAGGTTTTTATGTGGAAAGAAAACAGCAATAAATTCCACATACCTCGATGTTTGCTCCGTATTGTTGGCCATTAAAATCGTTTGCGCTTTGCGAAGAACATTCAGAACTTGAACTAGAGTAGCCAGACTCGTCGTAATTACGATTGCCTTGTATATTGTGTTCGTGCCGACCTCTGTTCGGCTCGACAAAGTGATTTCTTTGAGAAAATCTCGCTTGGTGGTTATTGACTTGATGGTTTTGAGAATTTGTGATATTATTGCCGCGATATGTAACGTGTGCTACCCCATTTGGCTGCTGTGTCTCGTTTGTATTCTCTGGTTCGCGGCGTAGATGCTTTAGACTACTACGAATTTCTTTCAACATTAAATTGTGGTTGAAAACTACTGGCGTATCAACTCGACCTTGCCTCCCTTGCTCTGCCATAGCGGAGTCTTGCCCGAAAATATTTAACACTTCACTCCTTAGATTTTCTTGTAAAACTACAGGACCTCCCTGGCCACAAAACACACTATAATTTCCCTTTTTACAGCTGAACGCTTCGACGGATTCAATGGCGCAAAAACATTCCTCTGCTAGACATTTATTTCGCCATTTCGAGAACGCAAAACACAATAATTTTATCCATTTACAAACTGGGCTATCGCATCACATAGTTGAAAGTGCCAAATTCTACACGAAAGCGCTTCCAGAATCGCACCAAATTCGCGACGAGGTTTCAAGTATTCATCTAGCAACAAAGGACGGTGTTTTTTCAGCGGAATTTCACACCAGAAGGAGAAAAATTCACAGGAATTCGACGACAAGGCTGAGGGTCGACATATTTTGATGATTACAGACGAATTATTTGAATTCCAAGCTTCGAAGATTATCCATGCTTCCACTTCGAATTCTTTACTTCGATGCTTCCTCGAAGAAGAATGCAAAATTTCATTTTTTGCGTTTAAAAAAAGTGTTGAAAATCTAAAATCTTTTTGACGTTCCTCTCAAAAATTGCTTTGTCTTAGCTTTATTCTCTTGTTTATACAGTTAGCTACCTTTTTAGGTGCATTTGCCGGTTGAGAAACATAAAATAATAGTAGAAAATTGTCAATTAAAATGCAATTATCAATGCTTTAAAAGTGACGCCATATTTACAGAATTATTCAGAATTTATACAGCAATATAAACAAAAGTTACTGAACTTCAGACATCATGTTCTCTTTGGCGTTCCATCTAAAATCTCTTCATTTTAGCATCATTTTACAGATAAAGCACTAAACATACTTTTTAAGTTTGTTTGCCTCTTGAGAAACGTATTAAAAATTATAAAAACAGTTGAATATTAGTTTCGAGCGCGTGTTAACTTACGTAAGTCACGCAACATACAAAAGATTATCCTCTTACAGTAATACTGTAAAGACTACTTATGTTGGCTTTATAGCCGAAAATTTGAAAATATTATATTGCCTATCAAAGTACCGTATCGACAAGAATGCAAAATTTCAACGTTTACTTTTCAAAAAAACCGAAATTGTTGGAACAATCTTGCAACAAGTCTGATGCTATCAACAAGGTTAATACAAGTTGTTTACAGCTTATTCCAAACTTGACCAAACTTGTTGACAAACTTGGTGCAAACCGCACAACTTGTTGACGGCTTTTTGGCAGACTTGCTACAGGATGCGAGATATTTACACGTGCACACATGCAAAAATCTGACATCTTGTAGCAAGTTTGCCAACAAGCCGTCAACAAGTTGTGTTCGCATTGCTTGTTCCCAGTTGTTGTAACAAGTTTGGAACAAGCTATAATATGACGAGATTTTAAAGTCTGTCAAACGAATTTACCCATCAAGGGAAGAGCATAGAATCTTGTAGCAAGTCTGCCGACAAGTTGTGTTCGCACTGCTTGTCCCAAGTTGTTAACGAGTTTGGAACAAGCTGTTAACAACTTTTAACAAGCTTGATGGCATTATCAGACTTGTGACAAGGTTGTTCCAACAAGCCTGATACAGTCATGATATAACAAGAATGTTACAAGGTTGATCACACAAGGTTGTAACAATATTGTTATATCATGATTGTATCGGACTTGTTCGAACAACCTTGCAACAAGTCTGATAGTATCAACAAGGTTGTTACAAGTTGTTAACAGCTTATTCCAAACTTGTTGACAACTTGGGGCGAACACAACTTGTTGACGGCTTTTTGGCAGACTTAACCCTGTCACAAGTCTGATGTCATCAAGCTTGTTACAAGTTGTTAACATCTTGTTCCAAACTTGTTACAACAACTGGGAACAAGCAGTGCGAACACAACTTGTCGACAGCTTGTGAACAGATTTGTAACAACTTATTTGCAGACCTGGAACAACTTGTGCGTTTTTACGTCTGTAGTTTATTTTTGTTAAAAATGAACTTGTAACGAGTTTGGAACAAGCTGTTAACAACTTGCAACAAGCTTGATGGCATTATCAGACGTGTCACAAGGTTGTTCTAACAAGTCTGATACAGTCATGATATAACAAGGATGTTACAAGGTTGACGACACAAGGTTGTAACAATATTCTTATATCACGACTGTATCGGACTTGTTGGAACAACCTTGCAACAAGTCTGATAATATCAACAAGGTTGTTAAAGTTGTTAACAGCTTGTTCCAAACTTGTTGACAACTTGGGGCGAACAGAACTTGTTGACGGCTTGTTGGCAGACTTGCTACAAGACGCGAGATATTTACGCTTGTACACACGCAAAATCTGACATCTTGTAGAAAGTTTGTCAACAAGCTGTCGACAAGTTGTGTTCGCACTGCTTGTTCCCAGTTGTTGTAACAAGTTTGGAACAAGCTGTTAACAATTTGCAACAAGCATGATGGTATTATCAGACTTGTCACAAGGTTGTTCCAACAAGTCCGATACAGTCATGATATAACAACAATAGGGCCATTTATACGTAACAAAATAATTCGCGACTTACATAAGACGCGACTTAAATAAGTGGAGTTATCGCATAAATGGTTCTCTACGGCTTTGATCTTATTTATTTGCTATAGCTATAATGTTGTTTTGGTTGTTTTGTTTTAATATGCAAGGCATTAAATTTTACGTTGTTTCAAGTTTCTGGCATGTGTAGTTAGACTTTTTGTCCAAAATTTCTTATTTAAGACGCGACTTAAATAAGAACAGCTAAAAGACCTGTTCTTTTGTAAGACGCGTCTTATCCAAGACGCGTCTTACATAAGAATTTTGTACCTTTTATACGACAAACTCGCGTCTTACTTAAGTTGCGTCTTATGTAAGTCGCGTCTTATTTTGTTCCGTATAAATGGCCCTATTGTGGCTTCATATCTTGTGTGGTGATGACATCTAACATATTTTATTAAGTTACATTCGCCATTTCCACTTGCTTTTCTTTACTTTTGCAACTGTTTTTTGTAACTCTTTTCGGAGCGATTGCAGAATACCCGTCCACTTTTTAGACTTTTTAAGCTATGCCTTTCAAACAATAGATTAATAATAAATACATTGATAGTCTCGTAGTCTAGTAAATGATAGATTAAAATCCCATGGTGGTAAAGATAGCTACGAGGCACACAGTGACTTAGCATGAATACATTTAATTATCATAGTGTTAAAGGTAGCTCTATATATTCTAGTGGATACGCGTGATACGCAGTCAAGTCGGTTATTTTGAGAATGAGGCATAGAGTTAGATTAGCATTAGATCAAATTCTCATACTATAGGTAGCTCTATATTTTAGCAGATACGTGGATACGCAGTCAAGTAGTTATTTTGAGATCAAGGCGACAGTTAGCATTAATAGATTAAATTCGCATGTTATACAGAGCTTAAATAGTTAAATGTGGTGTAATATGTAAATAGGGAGCTTTAGATTTGACTACGAGTACGACTACGACTACGAGATTCGTCAAGCTAAACGCATGCTGTATGCTTACGCCATCCCGTACTGACGAGATAAAGTCGTAGCCGTCGCCCATCTGAGTACGAAATTGTGGAGAAACCTCATAGTCCTCACGACGATTATGTTCCTCACAACCGGACATTGGTGTTTGACAGATTATGATTAATTAGCGTCGCTGGGAGAAAAAAATTTATATTATAAAGCATATTAAGCATAATAATATTAAACATTAAAAGTCTTGCATGATATTTCTTTTATTGTATCAATTCGTAATATTGTCTTAGTAATTAGTTTGTGTATATTAGAATCAGGCAATAAGATCTGGTATATACATATCCAGTGAAATGTGGCTGGGCTACATGATATGATATTACTAGTGGACGGGTATTCTGCAATACTTCTATTTGTGGAAAGTGGTTTTGATGGTCGCTTTGAATCTTCCAATATTTCCTTGCACGCTAGTTATCTTATACTGATTCTGTTCAATTAGGATGGTATATAGTTTTAATTCGCAATAACAGTTCTTGAGTATTTTCGGAACCAGAAAAACAAAGTTTGTAGATTTGCTATAGCATCGCGAAGAAAATCTTTCTACACGTGGTCGAAGACTGGAACAACGCGGAATGATGGACATATGGTATACCAGTGGGTTATGCAGGGTACGAAGGGATCGATCGATAACGCGCGGAGGCCTGGACGCGGATCAATGATGCGTCCGACTATCAATGAGGAGTCCGACTGTCTACGGAAAAAAATTTGCGGTGGCGCCACTTTGTCTTCGATGAATAAGTGTTACTCATTAATTAGTGACTTACTTAAATATTTTAGAAAGGGTGCTCCAGGGGTCGTAGTATCCTACCTAAATACCTACAATAAATATGGATTTATTACAGTCCCAAATGTTACAAAATACCTAAAACAACAGAAAGACCTAATACCCAAAATTAGTCATAACATTTAAGTAAATATACAGTACACTCAAATTAAATACCCATTAGATCCTGTATACCCAAAACCCCTTGGCCGACCCTGTTTAGGGGTCTCCCAACGCCAAAGCACAAATTATCACGTATTGTTAATACAGCGGCTACATTTCCAACTGTTATTTCAAATTGAGTCCTCAGAGTAGAACCAATGAGTAGAACTCTCCCCAGCCATAAATCCTTGCCTTAATCTCGATCCTTAAATCCAGCATAAATTTTATAAGATGAGATGACAGGTTTTCTTTACAATCATTTAGTTCAACGAGTGCGTTTGTTACGGATACGACTACATAAATCATAATTTTCTTTATTTTATTTGCTGTATACAAAATTATATCTAGTCACGCATTTTCTCGCAACTTTGTCTTTGATTACCGGCGGGATTAATTCACTGCAAATATATATTAAGATATCTGGGGCCGGTTCAGTATAAAAAAGTGATTAAAGTTAACTATAGTTAGTGGAAACGTCATCCTGAATAAGAAGCGCGTACTTGATAGTTAATCACTATTTTAACTACAAAATAGTGATTAAAAAAGTGATTAAGAGTTTTATACAACCGGCCAGTAAATTTTAATTACAGTTGAAATTGTGGTTTTAGACAATAATCCAATTACACCTGCCATGCAGTGGATGATTTTAAATAAAGCATGAATATTAATGTTCATAGACATAATTATATTTTCTTTTTAGCCATGGAGAAACTATAGCCGGAAACATTCCGAATCAGGACAAAACTCGAGGTGTTCACTTTAGTACGTTGTTAGTTTAAATTTAAAATGGGTAGTTCCAGATAAAACTTATACTTGAATGTATAGTTCTAAAATTAAGTTTTCGAGTTTTATGCATGAAACTTAATTAAATTATAAATATAATTTAGCGCCTATGCAGATATTTAAGGCAAAAACAAAACCAAATCTCACTCTGAAAACGGCTACAGGAAATGGCCATTCAGGACTTCTAAAATTCAAAATTATCCGGGGGGGCATGTCCCAGGCCCTTCCTACATGTATATAGCAGTTCAGT